ATGGTAACCACGCCGCCACTGGGTCACCCATTCAGTACATTTAATAAAATATTCCTTTAATTTTCAAATGTAAAGACACATCCACTGTAATATGTTTGTACACTGATGATCTCACTTGCAGTTACTGTAAATCCTAAATCATTAGAGCTTAGTAATGTCTACTTTTTAAACTCCAACCCTCTTCCCCTCCTCGATGTCTGACCTCCATTCCACACTCGCCTGGGGGTCCGTTCCTGTCTTTCAATGGCTTTGTGTGTATGTGTGTGAGTTTCCCAGACGAAGCCGGATAAGCTGTGCTCTGTCAGGCCCAGCTGAGCCTAATGTTCAGAGCCTTTGCTCATTGTTCCCATCTTGAACAAACAGCGCATTTATTTTTGTTTAGCTTCTATGGTTAATTGAGAAAAAAAAAAAGCTTAAAAAGTGTCCGGAGCTGTCCTAAATTAAGACATCAAAGAGCCTGATAAATATACAGCAGGAGGCTGGAGTGTTTCCAGCAGAGCAAATGTTCATGAAAGCCTTCGCTCATTGAACGTAGCTGAAAATGGCCACTGTTGAAACTACAAGGAGATATTTTGATTCTCATTGGAAGATGACAGTTTTCACAATCAAGGTGGGGGGATTTAAAGGGTATGTCAAGAGTTTTGACGCAATTATATGAGATTTTGCTTGTAAAAACTGTTAAAATTGTTTTGTAGTAACACTTTCTTGTAGCCTGGGTGCCCGATCATAATGTAAATTCAAGCGATGTAAAGACTCAGAGAGCATGAGAAAGTTTTAAACACATTAAAACACATACACACATACAACAGCTGTTTTCAGGCTCAGTGGTTCCACGACAGAATCATGTTCTTTTCAGTCAGATCTAAAAAGTTGCCGGCAAAAATCAGAGTAACAGAAGTTGTATAAAAGCAGTCCTGTGTTTCAAGTCTGTGTCCAGTGCAGCGCTGACGTCCACAAGATCCCTTATGAATACTAATTTCCTGTGAGAGGCCAGTCCAGTCTCTCCCACAGGGCAGAGTCAATCAGAGCCAGCTTAAGGTCTTCACGGATCGATCTGCGCTTCCAAGAATCTGACATTTGAGGTGTGACAAAGCCTGTCTGGGCTCACATCCTATCGTCCACTGAGAGTTTAACACAGGTCAGGCACTCTCTGAGGATCTCTGCTTTACTCAGGTACGGAGGCGGCCGGTGGACAAACACACCACTTCACACACCGCGTTCTCCCCCTCAGGAGCTCAGAGGCTGTTCTCCACGGCGATAGCACGGCTATTGTACATGCGCACTCTTGTGTTTTCATGCATGTAATTTACCATGTTTTCCCTCTTCTCCGTCTGTCCACAGACACCATCCATATGGCGAAAACATGTTGACACCATCGCACGCATCCATACACAGATGCACACACCCCTGGACCTCGACCGGTAGCCCATGGTGGCTCTGTTGTTCCCCACTGTCACCGCTATGAACTACAAAAACAGACAAGCATGCACTTGCAGAACCCTGTTACCTAATATGAAACGATCATTAAAGTGAGATAAAGCATAATTCCGGTTCTTTCAGCACATCATACATCTAATTACACCATCCCATCATGTTGATTACAAGCACTCATCTCTCTCATTCCTTTATTGATCACAGACAGGAGGCTGAGCGTGACATCAAGCTTTGTGTCCACCTACAAATGCACAAATTTACTGAGCCCTCTGCAGCGCTAATGCATCAAATAATCTCCCAGCATGCTTACAATGGCTCCCGTTTTCTGTTTCACTTTAATTAGGCTGCTGTTTGACCAAAAGGTCTGCCAACAATAGGACTGTAATAACAACTGGCACAGAGCTGACCCTCCCATCGGCTTTGTGTCCGCCTCACACAGCAGCTTTTCTGACTCTGTGCTGGCAGATGAGCTTGATATAAGAGCTTGTTTCCTGACTCCACTGCTTGGAAACAGGGACAGGATGGAAACTGAACAGCGACGGTCAAAGCTGCCTCTTTAAAGTGACCATTAATTATGTAGCCTGAAGAGGCCATGCACAAATTACAACGAGGTGACTCTACACTAAAGAGCCAATTAGTGTTGAGTTATCATCTCTTTGACCTTAGTGCACAGCTGAGAAGAGAGGGACCTCAAAGTGCATGTGGATGTATTGATAAAACCAAACCTCACTGACCTTTATCAGAGCAGAAGTCGAGCAGGACAGAGAGACAGAAAGACAAAAAAAAAAGAAATCCGGATATGCTTGTATTTCTGACGACTGTCGCAGTCACCGTGTCTCTGCTGTCCCGAAGCTACAGACTGTGTGACGTATCAGTCAGCCTCTCTGGACATTAGGCCTGTAATTAGTGGTGTTCACATGGACAGAGGCCTCAGAACACTGCAGCAGCCTGACCTTTCACCAAACATATGAAGCTCAACACAGCCTCTGACAGCAACCTTTTCTCTCAGCCCACCATGAGACGGCCTGTGGTCTGAGCGCTCAACTGGGCTCCACTGACTAACTGATGCACAAACACTACTTGTCAGACACGCAAACATACCGTATATATCCATGCATTCTTGAAAACAGAAGTCCCTGTGGAAGGTAGTGGAATTCACTAGAGGAAGGAAAAAGCTCATGAGGCAAATAACAGCAGTTCTCGTAAATCTCTGCTGATCGTCCGTGTGGAGAGAAACCTAAGTTAAATACCAAGTCCACAGAGCATTTGGGAAATTGTTCTGAAGCTGAGTTGCAGGACCTTTTGCTCAGTTTAACATCACAGATGTCTTCATGGAAAAATGAATCTTAAACTCATTTGCATCTCTTGATCTCCTCCTTTGTGCCTAATGCAGATGATGAGTCGCGTACTGTGCTGTACACTCACATGTATGACATGATCTGATGGATGAATGGTAAAAACATTGTCTGCTTTATTCCCTTTACATAAAGAAAACCTGAATACATTTGGAAAAAAAAGTCACAAGCCAACTGGAAACAGACTTCTATCACATGCAAATGGCTGTGCATCACCATAACATGAAGTTGAGGTAACACATTATGGGGCAATCACACTTGTTCTAAAAATAGACGTTTTTAAGGTTAACCGCCTAATAGTCTGTAAATAAATCCAATTACAGGCCAGGCACATGGTGTACATGTAGAAAGCCCACAAACACCAAGGACCACAGCTCCAGTCAAGAACAGTTACTCCTGGAGGGAACTGATTATGCCACAGACTGAAACACTCCGAGCAGCCAAATCTTCTTATTGCATTCCTGATACTTGCAAATAATCACACTGTGCTGCTAAACCCTTTGTGAGAGGGGATCATAGGTTCCAATGTTAAATCCAGACCAATGGGAATGAGGCTCGATTAAGGGTTTCATGTTGCTGGACTCAACTGTCCTGAACTGAACTGAGATTTGCAGTTCCATTTGGTTTACTGTTTGACAAAAGTCAATTGCACTTCAGCAGTGATGGAGAGTAGCTGAGAATACTTCACAGGGGAATAGTGCACGGTTCACTCCACGACATTCATTTAACAGCCAAAGTTACAAGTTACTTTGTACAGTACAGATTTTACATCTAAAACATGACGAACAAATTAAAATTGAAGCATTTTTGTGGATTGAACTACACCCAGTAAGACACTAAATAGTTATGTAGTTCTCTACACCTTCCAGCGGCAGGGTGGGGGTGAAAAGGACAGTAAACTGGCTGAAAACACAAGACCGGTGGACTTTGGTTAGTCTGTTAATCCCCATTGAAAGATTTGTTAGCTTCCCCTGTAGCACTCACAGAAAAAAAATGAAAATACTTGTTTAATGAGCACTCAGCTGATGGTGGACACTGTGGCATTAAAGAGCACTAAACCAGTGACCTTCTGTTATAAACCGGTGCCTTTAAGCACACTCCTGCCACCCAAACACCCAACAATCTAAACACTTTGAGCCACGGCAGTCTGTGTACAAGAGCAGCATCTTATCAGGCAGACCATATCTTATTTAGTCAGATGTTTCCATCACAAAAGATGTTCTGTGAGTGTTACCAACACATGCACCTTGTGACTATCAAGCACTGACCTGCAAATGAAGGGAGGAGGACAAAGTTCACAGAGCAGCACTGTGCTTGAGAAACAGGAACTATTGATCTGATAACATCCACTTATTCGGACTATTAATCACTTGGAAAGCTGGATTTATTTTTAGCAGTTATCATCCATGTGCCTTTTCAGAAGCCTGTGACTAGACCGACCCAGAACAGGACAGAAACATCCATCCATCCATTACTGTCAGTTACATTAGTTATTAGAATTAATCCTCGATCAGAATTTTGAGTAAGCTGAAATGACTCCTCTTCCTATTAAACTAGAGTTTGCAGGCTGTAACCAGTCTCCCTGCTGGTAAGAGTTTTAGCAATAGCTAGCTGGCATGCTGGCACACAAACATGATGATTACATAGGCAAATCTCTAATTCCACTGGGCTTAATGGGCTCCTTAAACTGGGTATTAGGGAAGCAGCTAAGCCAGGTGATTGCCAGCACTTGGTCCCACAGATGCAGGAAACAGAGCTGGGAACACAGCACAATAACAATGCATATACAAACGGACATGCATAAAAACAAAGAGGACTATATAAAGACACACATGCATAAATCCAGTGTGTCAGTGTTTTTGCTCCACCGTTTCCATTACTGCTGTGCCACAGCGATTTCATATCCCCAGTGGGATGACAGGTGGGTGAGTAGTGTGTTTGTAAACACAGTAATGTGCCGCTTCAGTCTAACACCTCAGTAATGGCTGAAAATAACAGAAATGGCAACGGATCCTGAGGGCAGAGTAACTAATACAATATGCCATGCAATATAACAGGGATGTGGGAGCTGTCATCTCACTTTTAAATGAAAATCTGAAGAGAGAAAGACAAAAATAAAACTGACAGATAAAGATGCAGCAAAAAGCAGGGTGTGAAAGGCAATGGAGCACGTCATGTATATGAGAGGGGTCTCTGGCCTATGATCCCTACCGGATAGCCTTCTGTTTTCTTCTGGCACCACTTCAGTAGAGCATTTCTCTTAGATCCTCCATACTCCCGCGCCAGTGCAGCCAAGGGGTCCTTTCTTTCCACACTGTCACCAGGGAAACATGAACCGGAATCACAGCGAGAGAGAGACAGAGAGGGACGGTTACAGTATGTCTTCTGGAGCGTATGTGCAAACTTTGATTACCCTGTAAAACTATTAATATCCTCACATGCACACACAAACGTCAGTGTACATGGACATTGGGTGACATTCATAGATCCCGGGTAAACAGTTCTGTTTACACAGCAGAGGGGAAAATGGTGAAAACCCCCAGATCATTTTTACACAGCTGAGCTTCTTCACACAAGATCCAAGCTAGAACTTATTGTCTTTAAATAACATACTTTAAAACCCCAGAAGGGGAAATAATACAGATAATCTAATTATAATGCAGTATTCTGCTGGGAAATAGCCTGACATTCATACGGATGTTTCTTTGACATGTACCACCCACCGAAACATTTTTGTATACCGAGTACGACTCCCCCAGCCGGACAATGCATCCCACCACAGCAAAGAAACTACTCAGGAGCGACTTGAGGAATGTAACAAAGAGCCCAAGGGTCCCCTACCAACGTCTCAGTGCCAGACAGCACAGAACAGCCCCAGACATCCCGTGTCCATGACCAGACAGGTCAGAGCTGTTTAGAGGCTAGTGGGGGATCTACACAATATCACGAAGGCATTATGATGCTGTGGCTCATCAGTGGATACGATGCATTAATATGAACGCTGTAGCTTAAACCTTTATTCTGCAGACACAGAGGCAGAATGACAAACTGAGAAATGCCTCCAAAATGTCACCACATAGTACATTATGTACATTCTAATATTAGACAATGAAAATGATCCATTTGTTCAATTATTTGATACACCTTTGGTTTGTTTGTTTTTACATTTTCCAAACGTTCCCTCTCTGAATTGCAGGTTTTCCATTACAAGGGGATCACATTTTTTTTCATCTTATAATATTATTTCAAGATTAAAGCTTTTTTCTTTTTTTGTTTTTTTAGTATATTTCTGTTACAGTTGAGACTTGGGTCAAGATTATTTTGGAGCTAAGCCAGCTGTATACACTGTCCTGGCTGTAAGTGTGGGATGTAAAGCTTTAGCACAGTCCATTTTTGGCATCCCTTTAAATGTTCACATTCCACCTCTATGGGCGAATGCTCCATTATATACCTACAGTATAAAGCAATTAGAAGTGGTCCAGCAGATTGGCTAAATGCCTATCTGCAGTATGATTCAGAGTCTTCTCCCTGGGGTTTGTGCCGGAGCTGAGGCCATGGGAAGACCATGAGACACGGTCATTGCTCTGAGCATGGTAAACATTTCACACGTCACTGCAACTCGGCTGTTGAATTCATTATTTCTCTGTTTGAGGCACCGTAATGCTAGGAGCAGTAAGATCCTGCCAAAACAAATATTGCAGATGGGGGAGAGTATTTGCATTTATCATCAGTGATACAGCAGCTATATCATAAATGTGCTAAACATGGTAAAAGACTGCTCCTGATCTACTGTTTGAAAGAGAGAGTTAATAATGTTGTCACTCAGTTACATTAATAATGTAATGCAAAAATATAATAATATTAATAGTCCCAACATGTAGGAACATTTCGATGCTTCACTGGCGAACACAAGCATGTGACCTTTAAAAATATATTCTTGTTGGCACACATAATACTGTAATTTCCCATCTCAGCAGTGCCATGATTCTAGAGGAGGATGTGTTGAGGCTGGACAAACAGGTTCTTGAGTTTATGGATGACAGTGTTTTATAATGTCAGCTGAACCTCAGGGTGTTGTCCAGTGTGCTTCAGCCAACTTTACTGTCTCCCTGTGACAACACATCAAGGTAAACTGAGATGCAAACTGTTGCAGCTGTGTAAACGGAGTTGATCATGAGTGAGTGCACACAAATAGGACTGGTCTGAACTTAAAAATAAAAAGTCATATGCTTGTTTAACATCTGTTTTTCTTCCCTTTCTGATGAGCAATCGCTATTATATCAAAGTCACCTGTGTCAAGTTCAGCACCAGCTCAGAACATTAAAATGTTCTTCTGATCCATGCTCTCATGCTTCAGTTGCCAATGAAATTTGTGCAACTCCAAACTCTCTTAGCTGGGACTTATATAGTTCAAACTGAACCGTAATGCAAATTGTTTAAAGGCCTACAAGGCAGTAACAGTGACATTAATACTGAGACCTGTTATTTGTGGTATAAAGAGGAGTTCCACAGCAACATCCCAGTCTCCACAAGCTATGTAGCTAATTCTGAACACTTTGGAAAGAAGTGGAATTACAGTATACCACAGCTATGGTAGCATTTCTTTGGCTATTACAAAAAAGGCATGAAGGCTCAATATGAAGCTGACTTTTTCACATGTCTGTTCTGCTGCAGTGACGGGTTGATCAGAGGATGTTTGCATATGTGTATGCAGCACAAACTCAGAACACACCTGGTTTCACAGCTTTTTTTTCAGATTTCCTGTGAAGTGAAGCAAACCCTAATGATGCATGTATGATGCAAGTCAGAAGTCAGAGATGTTTCTACTCCCGTGTATAACACATTTACCAGTTCAACATAAACTTGCACTGCTAAGTAAGTGAGAAATGGTTGGACAAATGCATCAGGTAAGCTCACCTGAGCTTGCTGTTGCCTCGGTTGTAGCTGAAGGATGCAGTGCGGCTGCTGAGGGAGGCAGTGGTTTTGATTACAGACTCTAGAGAAGGGCTCTTCCTCATAAGGCTGTTAGGCTTCAGGTCTTCCCCGCAGCTCGACAACTTATCTGCGGTACCGAAGGATGCAAAAGAGGGAGGTAGGCACAGGAGGACATAAAGAGAGGGTCAGAAATCAAGAGATCAAAAGATCAAATGCATTTGTCAAATAGCAATGAGCAATGCTAAAGTGGGAGTATAATACAAGTTGCAGAATAGTCTACAGGGCATCTGCATTGCCTGAGCAAGTCACACTAGTAGGCACGCCCTGCACAAAGACACACTTTATTACTAATGAATAGTAAAGTCATCAGCTTAGTTAATTAAAATTCACTTCTAATAAATGCATTGATGCTAAAGTGAATGCATGTTTCTCCAACAACTCCTCAGAGAAAGAACTGGAACATATGTTGACTGTAGATGGAGACATTTTAAGAGTTAATCACCACAATTACACTATTTGCTTTTGAACAACAGAATAATAAAATTTTCCACCAATGCAGCACTAGTCAAATGTTTGCACATCATTCTTCCATTTCTTTCACTTTCACTGAGCATGCGTACTCATAGCAGGACTCATTTGTTTTCACATGACAGCTAAATGAAATATGGACACACATCTAAATTTAACATTATGACTACATAGCGAGCACAGTCACATACCATGATGATGAGAGAATTCTCCATGATTGATCCTTTTTTCCAGTGTCTTTGATAGTGGCTTTATGTATGAGTGTCTCTAGAAGATAAAACAGATCAAGGATCTCACCATATCAGAGGCTGATACTATCTCACCTACAGCGCTTCTATTTTTAATTTTCAGAGGAAAACTGTTCTGGTGCATACCTGCATGGGGGAGACAGCAGCAGCAGGTGCAGTACGTACAGGAATCCCACTCAGCGGGCTTCTTGTTGAGGAATGCATTTGAACTGTGTGGTCTGGTCCATCTGAAACAGCAATATACCCACTGTAGTTTCAAAAGAGCTCCAGGTATCCTGTGTAACAATTGTAAATAATTATCACATCCATTGTGTGACCTCAGTGTAATTATTGTAAATAATAACTCCATAAAGACGACTGGCAATGTTTGGCTTCCTTAATATTTGATTCAGTCTCAGCAGGTTCCTCCAGCATAATGATAAATAACGCAGGGTTTTTGCAGTGGCAGGTGGTGGAAGCAACGGAGGTCTGCTAGAAAATGAAACTAACATTATAGCCTGAGCTCAAACAAAGTCTAAAGAGAAAGCTCAAATAGCATTTTAACCCTGGACCAAACAAACAAGTCTTGATGATATAATAGATCGGCCTACAGTGGAGGGTGAAGGATCGAGCCTCCAAAACTGATTTGTGCTTAGCATCAATATTTCACAGTGGTCATGCGCTCATTGTTGTTATTTGTTTTTGGTAAGATTCTCAGTCGTCTCAACTTATTCTGCAATGTTGCATTTACATTATAGCTTTGTGTATATAATATGGTATGTTATTCAGTCGGCTGCAAGGTGGGGAGGTGGTTAGCACTGTTGCCTCGCAAGTTTACATGTTCTCCCCGTGCAGCGTGGGTTCTCTCCAGGTTCTCCGGCTTCCTCCCACACAGTCCAAAAACATGTTGAGGTTAATTGGTGATTCTAAATTGTCCGTAGGTGTGAATGTGAGTGTGCTTGGTTGTCTGTCTCTAAGTGTAGCCCTGTGATAGACTGGTGACATGTCCAGGGTGTCCCCTGCCTTCACCCTGAGTCAGCTGGGATAGACTCCAGCCCCCCACGACCCTAGTGAGGATTAAGTGGTGTATAGATGATGGATGGATGTTATTCAGTACCAGTTCTGGTTTTGTTTTACATTAAACAAGTGATTTTGAAAGGTCTGACCTGTTGATTTAAATGAAAACAAAAAGCTCTGGACTACAGGTAGATTCATAAAATATTTCTGAAATTATAGTATGATCCTGACATGCATTAAAACTAACTCTACAAACTGCACTTGTCACGTCACAATCACCTTTCATGCTGTGATACAAGCTGAAGCTGAGTAAATGTGACAGGAACAACCACTTCCACAGTCCAGCTGCAAAGTACAATTCTTAAATGTAAATCCCTCCTCATTAGTCAGAGATCTATGCATGCATCACTTTTTAGTAGGTGTCAAGTCATCTCACGAACACAAAAAAATCCTCCAATCTGCCAGGGCTCTACTCAGGTCAGACAGTCCTGCACAACTGCACATGCCTTAGCTGCAGAGAGATGACAGATAGCCAGACTGGAGATCTAAGCAGCTCATCAGCTGTTGTGCTCTACGGTTACACTGCTGTAAAGGGATTCCCTGTCAGTGTGTGTCTGTGTGTCGAGGTGCTAGTGCTCACTCTGTCCAACAGTATCAAAGGACTTAATGAGAGATTTGACAGTAGCTCCGGGCTCTGAGTCGGCATCTCCGCTGGCGTCCATGGGTGTGGTCGGGATCATGGAGATGCCGCACCAGTGACGGCTGTTATCGGAGTCAGGCAGTCTCATCTCGTCACCTTGGGACCTGGCAGACACAATGAACAGGGTTGTTGTGTACAGATATAAAGAATACACAGACTGGGGTGAGGAGAATGTGGCAAGACAATGTGTGAAATGGTGACTGGACTTTCAAAACCCTCACTTATCTGAACAGATGACCTGCTAATCAGTAAGAATGCGTGTTCTGAAACAGGGTGTTTGCTCAGGGTATTGACAAGACCAAGTGATATTGAAGATTGAACTAAAGAACTGTCAATAACTGATAAACAGCCAGAGATAGACCTACATTTGGAAAACAAAATCTGAGCAATCCAATCATCGGGACACTTTGCACCCATTGCTGCTGGTGAACATTGTACTGAAGGCTACAGAGTGAGGGATTTGGAGCCGCTTTATCAGTAACGGATGACAAATGAATGACAAGCAAGGAATTCCTCAACTCACCTCCAAAAAGTAGAGTGACAGAGATACACAACTGCAGTTGGACTGGTGTAACTTAATTTATTCATTTGCCAAATGAACAACAGTCAAACAGACATTTTTATGCAATATTTCACAGGCATAAAACCAGTCAAGTCTTTCCGAAGCTTTCTTGGTAGAATAACTTAACAGGACATTCACTGTATTGATCATGAAAAGAAAATGACCTATCGCACTGTTACAGTCTCATTTTTTTCTATGTAGTATTTTTTAAGTGTATCCAAATGTTTATATCTTAGGCACCAGTATCTTACTCTCTGCCTGAATAATATGGCTTTTAAAAATGGGGTTGTGAGTAGAACCTGAGATGCTGCAACCATAAACTATTACACTACTACAGTATGAAATATTCTGTGAGGGTTTTGTTTGAAGATAAATAAATCAGCCATGTGATAAGTTGCACCGCTCTCAACATGAGTGACTTCACAGAATGACTCTGACACATTATAAGGATGAAAAAAATCTCTAAATCTGTATTACACAGTGATTCAAAACTGATCAACAAGGAAGAATTATAAGATCCTTGAGTGACCGCTGAGGTTCAGATACAACGTGGTTAATTCTACATTAATTAGTTAGATTTCCAAGGAGTGGAGTAATAGAAAATGAGTTCAACTCATATTTTGACAGTGGTAGTTTTATGGAGGAAATAAGCCTGTCAGGAACCTGTAACACAGTCTTCTTGGTCTAGGAGTTAAAATGGACCATTAACCTTTTGGTATGTCTCAGAAGAGTATAAAGTGACCTTGAGGTACAGTTGTTTGTGTTTGTGGCAGTCTTAACTTCTGATTTTGGCAGTATAATATTAAGAATAACTCTGTAAATTTAAAACAACTATTGAAATCATGAAAGAAACGGACAAACACGGCAGAATGCTAATCGGGATTTCAACAATTCATAGGGAATGTGTGCCATCTAATGGCTAAACAGGACACTACATTTTATTCCAATTCCAGGACCAAAGACCAAAGTTAAGTCTCAAAATAAAGAAAAGCTTTTTGTTCAACAGATCATAAATGCCAGGTCTGAAGCTAAATTAGCAGAGCTTGAAGTAACAGTAATTTGACACATATAGAAATAGTAAGAAAATTATATGGAGGTCCAGCACAAAACCACCTAGTTTATGAATAATATTCAGTATTCACTTCTGTTGTGTTGTGTTGCTCTTGCCTTGAAATGTTGATTTCCAGATGTTACAAGTTTGCCTCTGTACTGGAAAAATGTTGGAAATCAGCAGCGTTGCCGGTGGCTGAACACTTTCCAGTATTTTTCATACGTTCCCATTTTTTTTCATGATACTCTTTTATAAAAGGTCACACACTTTCTCAACATTCTGAAAGGCACGAAGCAGCTTCACACATAATAAAAAGGAGTCTCTCAAACATATGGCATTTCCTCAACACAAGAGAATTACAAACATAAAGAGTACATTCATTGAAAAATAAAAATACAGTATTATTATTCAAAAGGCTCCAAAATGTAAAGACATGTAGAGGAACAGAAGCCAGGCAGTGCCATAAGGTCACAGTGGCTTACAATGAAACTGGTTTACCACATTACATTTTGAATAAAATAGTAAGTGCAACAATAACACTGTCTTCATGTGGTGCTGAGGTGAAGGGCACTGCTCTAGTGCCCCTCTACTGCCGTCTTGGTATCAAAAGTGGCTCCAGTGCTTATTCTGAAAAGAAAACAAGAAGAAAGATGGATTAAGTTTAGGGTGCGACTGTATACAGCTACTGCTTACAAATATTCTAAACAAGACACCTTCAATTTCTTGTTATTTTGAAAGACAAACCTCTGGGCACTTTTAAAAATGTGTTCCATGCATACCTCATAAGATTAATACAGTCACTCATAATGTCAAATTTGACAAAATCACCCGGTGATGAAGAGGCTATGCAAATGTATCTGTAGCAGATGATGCATAGCATGAGTTTTATCCAGTCATGCCGTGCAGACCATCCTGCTTTTTAATCAAAAAAGTAGGAGTTATTCATTCAAACAACAGCAGGTGGCACCAGATACATCTACTTGAACTACAGGTTTAAAGAACCAGGCAAAGCAAACCAAAAAGGTAAGATAGTCCCGAAGGTGCAGTCAGCCAGCATATGGAAAGACAGACAGAGTCAGACAGGCTGAAGCAGCAACACGAAGCCAAACACAGATAGGAAGGTCAGTGAGCATCAGCAGCACACAGGGCGGGGAGAGGCAGGCTGGCTGAGAGAGGGCTGCCAGGGCAGGGAACTCACCTGGACTGTACATAGGGAGGCTTGTCAGAGGGACATCTTTGACAGAGTCATCACAGGGAGCTGCTGCAGGTGGGAAGCGGACGCAGCGTAACAGCTAATCTTGGGGAAAGTTTGCTGATTTAGCCGTGATCTAAAACCAGTACTTTAACTATATTCACAAGTACTGCATGACATCTGAACAAAACACATCTGGTTTTAAACCAAATAGAACTATTTCTTAAATACTTAAATTGCTCTAATGAGGTCTGTGAGGTGACACTTTATGAATGAAATCATTTAGAGATTCGCTTGCTTAAAGGATTACACCACGACTTGCCACACAGATAAACAGAGTAGCAAATCTAAGCAGACTTTGCACTTTACACAAGTATTTGACCTGGCATGATGATGAAAGGGGACAAGACTGTCAAAACACCATGGCATTTGCTCGCTCAAACACACTTATCTGCTCACATACAAACCAATGCAATGCTCTGTATAAAGACATCAGTCACATTACTGCATGGCCATGGCCCAACAACACTATGTGAAATCTTAAAATGCATTACACATTGGTGTGGAATATTTTTGTAACACAGTTGGCTCAAAGCAGCATCTGTCATTACAGCAGATGTGCCACTACTCTTTTCATATAACAATAACGTCCTGTAATCAATATACTGCAGTTTACTGTGTTTTGAGTGTGAGGGTTGAATGTTACTAAAGGGCAGTGGTAAGTGTGGAAGAGGGAGACAGAGAGGGCAGCAGCTTAAAGGAGGAGAATACATAGAGGGAAATACTGCAGGAGACTGCTCATTTACCAACAGAGTCTGCCAAATCCCAGGAACCTAAACTCTGAAACTCAAGGATTTAATCTTGTGACATACCAAGATATGAACTAAATACTATCTCCACTCACTGATATGCTGCTTTAATATCAGATAGGAATTTTTGGAAACCTCTTAAGCAAGAGATTTTTGTGATTTACTGTTGATACCACATACAAAAACAAGGTGGCACTGGGTGGAGATATGGCGAGACTCTGGCGGGTACCTCAAATCCACATATGTTCAGAGAGAAAGGAACTGCAGCCCGATGCTAAACAAGGGGAGCTGAAGGAGATGGGTGGGGGCGAGGGGGGGAGGACTGACAAAGTGGAGTATGACGGTGATGGTACCTGACTCCCTGCAGGGCCTCAAGGTCTGCGGAAAGCTTTGCACTGCGATCCTGCTCCTCCTGCAGCTGCCTCCTGAGTGTACGCAGCTCCTGCTGAGCTTCCACCTTGATGTCGTTGGCCACCACAACGGCCGTCTGGAGGTCGGCCTGAAAACGACGCCACTCCTCCTTTTCATCCTGAAGACATAAACACATGGATGAGAAGCGGAGAATGCAGATGTAGACGCGTAGAGGTGAACTCAGAGATAATCAACTGACACGGAAACTTGAAATTATTTGGATTTTTTGGACGGCAGCAGTAGATGGTTTTAAACGCAAGTCTTACAGTAGAAAAATGAAATCCGATCACACAAACTTTGCAGTTGTACATTCTCTTGTTATTACTGAAGACACTGGTAAAACATCCATCCATCCATCCATCATCTATACACCACTTAATCCTCATTAGGGTCGTGGGGGGCTGGAGTCTATCCCAGCCGACTTAGGTCAAAGGCAGGGGACACCCTGGACAGGTCACCAGTCTATCACAGGGCTACACTTAGAGACAGACAACCAAGCACACTCACATTCACACCTACGGACAATTTAGAATCACCAATTAACCTCAACATGTTTTTGGACTGTGTGGGAGGAAGCCGGAGAACCCACGCATGCAAACTCCACACAGAAAGATCCTGGTGCCCCCAGGTCACGAACCGGCGACCTTCTTGCTGCGAGGCAACAGTGTTAACCACTGAGCCACCTTGCAGCCCACTGGTAAAACATTCACTGGATAAACTATATAAACCAGCTCTGTCTTAATTCACATTTTGATAACGACATTGTCTACTTTCTGTAAGATATCTGTGAAAGCACAACAAAAACTTCTATAGAACTTCTAAGGTTAAAAAGAAGTTAAGATTCACTTCAGAACAAAAGAGTGAAAAACAAAACACACACACACAAAAGGTAGGGAGAACAACAGATTTTTTTTTCCCAGCATGCAACAGAGAGTGAAAAAACTGAAGGTATCATTTGCCACCAAAGTAAAATAAAACAAAGACTTCTAGGCACATATTCAGCGTTTGAAAGACAAATATCTACACTTTGTAGGTTTGACTTTAGGCTATAGTGCCACTACATTGAATGTTTGTACTTGATCAAGTTTTCTACTAGAGTACTTTGACTTTTCTTGGGAGTTCACATGTTCTAAACCTGGAAATTACAGCTCCATTTTCAGCATCTTTTAGAACTTGAGCTTCCATCAATCAGCAGTTTGACAGATACGTGGACGACATAAAGGGAAATTCCAAAACCAGCAGTCCAAAATGAATATCAAGACGGTGACCATGAAATCCAGGAAGATTGTATCTGTTGTATTTGATAATATCTATTTCAAAGACAAACATAAAACAGAAGTCATGTTCATGGAAGAACACCATGGAGACTATCAGTGCCTGCCAAAAAGCACAATGCTGCCTGTGTGAACAGCCCACCTGCATGTTCCCCAATGCTCCTGGAACAATGCTCAGTGGAAAGAAGACTGAAGGTCATTTTGGCGAAAGGAAAAACTGAGGACGAGAACATCATCCTGAACTGAGAGCGACACTCCACCCAAAATCTCTCTCTTAAATACCACGCACTCACCCTCCAGGGCCGAAGAACAGCTGTATAGGAGTGGCTAGGGTCATCTGAACTGACTCAGTAACTGTTTCTACAGTAGAAAAATATGATTAAAACAGAACCACTTTTCCATTATCTGTATGTTTGTTCTGTTCCAAGAAAAATAATCACAACAATATGGATACTGCCATTTGAGTGCCAGAAGTAGCAATTTTGCTTCTATTTATTGCTTGGCTGATGAAAAAAAAGAGAAAAACAAAACGCTGGAAAGAATGGACGGTATGTAACAAAGGTCCAACAAACATGGTCTGATTTCTGAATGTCACAATTACATGTTATATGGCAAAAACAGCCAATAGTCACCAGGAGATGAACTGTTGAAACTTTATAGGTCTCCGTATTGAAGCTTTCTTACCTTCATCTGTCTATTGAAAACTTTCAGTTGTCGGTCTGCTTCAGCCTTCTGCTCCTCCAGCTTTTTGACAAGATCTGCAATAGCAAATTCAAAGTCTGTGAGAAGTGCTTCTCAAACTCTCAGCACTACCATACTGTACACTCAGAAAGGTTCACACTAATTAAACAGCATTCACCACTTGCTGCACAGTTTTCAGTTTGATACAGAGAGCCAATTTATGGCATTAAGTGTCTTATAAGGTACTCTTATAACAGCTACTCCTAGACGCTGTTAGATCTTTCTAAATCGTTTCTCATTACTGCAGTAATATTAGCACCACACTAATCTTATCCATAAATTATAACAGCCTGTAGAGATACAGTATGTTGAGGTATACAAAATTTGCCAACTGCACTAATGGTCAAAGATGCTACATTTTGCATGTTTCTTCCTATACACTCAATTGCCAGTGCAAAAGCTTAGTTTTGTGGTATGTGGAGTTTAAATAAATGCAGTCTGTTCCAACAGCCCTGCAATGAATCATAACTTCATGAAAGAGGTATATGTCAACTTTGGTGGTATTTCTAATATTTTGTCGCCCCATTAATGAGGAAAGACCAAATACCACAAACCATGGACTGATTCATTACTGCATTTAGGACTGCTAAGACCCCACAGAGCAATACAGAACTGAACAGGTAGTGACATGAACATACTCTCCATGTCCAGGACAGCTTGGTTGGTGTGGCAATTGACGGCCCTCTGTTGCTCCACCTGGTCCTCCAGTTCAAAGATGGTCTCCTTCAGCTCCTTCACCTGGTTCTCAGCCTGTATCCCGGCCTCCTCCAGGGAAGTCACCCGGCTGCTCAGCTCCTGCTCTCGCCTCTCGGATCGTTCTTGAACTTGCTGGCATTTGACCTCCACCTGTGGTAGAATATATGAGGTTAAGTACAGAAATGAGTAACAACGAAGAGGCAGTGTTTTATGTGCCAATAACATCTGGCTGTCACTGTGCTAGTAAGATGGACACTTAGGTCACCTTTGGCTCAACAGGGGAATCATTTATAATACTGTACATTCTTGTGGTATCACATTTCTATTTGGTGCTTTTCTTTGCATCTCTACCTTTGGAAAGATTAGATGAAAGACTCTTTTTCCCCAGTGTATGAACTACACCTTGGCTTTCAGGGATTCATTTATTGTTACTCGTATTCATAGGAAAATGAAGAATAAGTAAACAGAAGTAGTCACTGCTGACTGCTTTTAGTGCCACAAAGGGATGTGTTTGTTTTTCTGTTTTGTTTTATGGAGGTTGGCATTAAGAAAGTTGTTTTTTTTCTGATCTTGGATTTAAAGTGAGTGAGGTTAAGATATTCTCCTGCCACGCTTCAATAATGAAGCAAAAACAGCATGCATGCCAGTATCTTCATCAAAATGAATTAGTGAGAAACTGCCATCATGCATGAAACATACATCAAAAACTGCAAGATTTTTTCGTGTGATGCATGAAGATGAAGTAAAAAAAGAAAAAGAAAAGCATGGCAAAAAAAAGCCAATATTTTTGAGATCCCCCAAAATTTCACAAATCATGTTTTCAGTGGAGCTCATACCTCATTAAGAGAAACCAAGCTCCCCCTGGCACCCCATTAGTTTGTACCCTGCACTTCCATACTTCACTACAAATAAGTTGTAATAACACATTTGGTATCCATGAAGGCTGGATAAGAGTCAGACGCAGGGTGTGTGAAGAAACCACAAACTAAAAGGTAATTAAAGTGGGCTAAACATTTAGTGATATTTATTGCACATGGTAAACGGTTTGATCTGAATAAACCAAACTCTTATTTTTCAGCTAATGAAAGGTAATAGACTTAATACAAGCAGTTTTGGTGGAGACCAGGCAGTGCTGTTTTTTAAGCTATGTCTGACAGTGGCCATTTGGCATCAGGGTAAACGTGCAAGGAGGCCATAACTTTGACTCGGTCTGACTGTTTCTTCATTGCAGCTATTGAAGCTGAAGTCAGTGTACCATGATGACTGCTGTCCTGACAAACAACACGGAAAGACTCTGTGAGCATAATGTACTAAAACAAGTAAGTGATGTAGTCATGCAGAACACCCTCCAGCTGACTCCATGTGGCTCTAATAGATTAGGATGACTGTGAGGGAAGTTATGGAGTGGCCTCTCTCTCACACCCATGTGGCAGAGGACAGTAGTGTGAGTCAGAGTCACACACTGCTGGACCACCCTACTGTTGGCACCACAGTCTCAGTCCAACAATGATGACATCATTAAGCTGATGGTGACACGCCTCACTTCGTGGCAACAACCACCAACATGACCCCAAACTCAAACTGCCTCAGCCTTTCTAGTATTTATGGTGTTGCAGGGGAAAACCAAAGTGACTACTGCAAAACATATGAAAATAATTTGAGTGAACGTTAAAGTACCAAATACCAGCTATGGCTGTTCAGGGGCCATGTTCAAACTATTGTGGGAGACGTGTCCTTATCCACATTCAAAAAGTGGTGACTGAGCCAAGAACTATTAAAAAAATCACAGTCGCCGTTTGACTCCTATTTCTATTAATAAAGAAGTGTTATGCTGGTGTTTTGGCTATTCCTTGACAGATAACTAGCATTTTGGCTGCTGCTTTTGACTGCGTGATTGGCTTAGCTTTGTCATAGTTTACAGTAAATGTGAATGGACACATTGTTATTTTTGGGAATTCCTCAAAGCTTTGTCAAACACACACAATTATTGAGCTCACGAAGATTTAAAAAAATAAAAAAAGTTCTTCGCACACAGTTTTCTTGCAAAATTCAAGTTCTGGTTTGTACAACACAGTGGAAGCTATAAGACTCTACAGAGACTTTGTCAAACAAATTACAATTGTCCTGTCATAAACAGACTCGCACAAATGTTTCCCTTTGTGCTACAATTACTAATAACTTAGCAGCATTCTGACTGTGTTCTCATCTGTGAATATTTCCTCAACAGTGAAACATGTATAACATTCACTATTTGGTTTGTAGTGTAAACAGATGATGGGCTTCATCAACAGATCCAAAACAGGTGCAATAAATCATTCACTCCATAAATGCCAAGATGGAAGACGTGATGTAAACTTGCATCCTTCCTACCTTGGACATTGCGGCTCGCACATGCTCAGTCTCAGCCTGGGCCTGAAGCAGCTCTTGTCTCAGCTCTGTCAGCTCCACCTCCAGCCTGTCTCTCTCAGTGTGGGCTGTCTTCAGCAAATTCTGCAGCTCAGTGCTGTCACTGGTACTTTGCATGGCCTTCAGCTCTCCCACCTTTTGCCTCTCAATGTCCACCTGTGCCTTCAGCCTACTGTTGTCCAGTCGAAGCGAGTCTGCCATCGCCCTCTGCTCTTCCGCGGCTTGTACTGCTTGACCTCCGACTTCCTGCTCCCTGTCTAACTGGGCCTGCAACCTGTCTACCTCCTCTCTGAAGCAGTGCACCTGGCCCTGGGCCTCCTGATGCTCCTCCTCCAGAACCCGCAGGCTGCCTGTCAGTTGTTGCTGGATGTCCACCAGCTTCTCCCGTTCAAAGCGTGAGCTCTCCACCAGCTCGGCATACCTCTGTTCCAGCTCCGCCAGCCGAGGCCCTTGGTTACCCAGCTCCTCCTCCCTCTGGGCCTGAGCCTGAGCTTGCTCCTGAAGTCTAACAGCTAGCGTCTCGTTCTTCTGGGCCAAAACCTCCAAACGCTCTCTCTGCTGTTGAAGTGAGGTCTGCAGCAGGCGCTTTTCCTCAGCCAGACGCTCGTTCTCAGTTGTCAGCTCCTGCACCACTTGCTGCTGGTCAGCCAGCTCCTGCAGCGTTGCCTGCAGTTCCTCCGCTGTGCTGTGGTGGCTCTCCTCCATCTTGTGAATCTGTTCTGTGAGGCTCTGCACTGACACATCCTGACCTCCTGCATTGGTTACTGCTCCTGCTGCAACAGCTTCCCCGCTGACACCACTGCTCACTGATTCTGAGCGTGACGGGATCTTCTCAAACTCTGACGAGTCAGGTGATGGCGACCCCTTGGTGATATCAGAGCTGGAGGAGACAGACGTTTTGAGTGGGCTGGCAGTAGAGGGGAGACTGTCCTGTTGAGGACCTGAGGAGTCTGAGGGCAGGCCATTCACCAAAGGCTTGGAGGGGCTGCTTGTGTTTGTACTAGAGAGAGGAGAAGCCTCCAAGGAAAGCAGCTTTTCCTTCAGTTCCTGGTTCTCTTCCCTAAGGGCGGCCAGCTCTCTCTGAAACTTCCCATTCTTCTCCCTCAGTTCCCCAACTAGTACAAGGGCCTCCCCCATCTGCCCCTGTTCTCGATCAGCTGAAGGCTCCTGCCATGAAACAGAGTTGGGTGAAGAGGAGGTGCTCGATGCTTTACCCTTGCAGCGCTGCAACTCCATCCTGAGATTGCTGATCTCTAAGTCTTTCGCCTTCGCCTCAGCGAGCAGCTCTTTCACCTGGCCCTCCAAAAGGCCCTTTTCCTGGCCCTCTGCATCTGCACGGGACTTGGTTGAACTACGTGTCTGCTTTGCCAGGGTGGAGAGGCTGGAAGTGCTGGCACTGGACACCATTCTCTTAGTGGAAGAGCTCCTCAGTTGGCATCTCTCTCTTGTTATGGCAGAAGAGATTTCTCTGGGAGCTGGAATGCCAGACTTCTTGGCCACTTGTGCACCTGCAACACAGACCAAAACAAAAGTATGTATTGAAACAGTGTCGTTCAAGGAACTAAATGACCTGAGAGGCACTTATCGTGGTCTTTCAACAAAGCAGTTGACAGAGCCGTCTCATTGAAATGCCAGATTCTCTGAAATTATCGCTTTAAAGGTAAAATCTTGAAACCTTGAAAGTAAATAGAAATTCTAAGCATAACAATATACTAACTAGTGAGCAGCTTCTGAGCAAAAAAAGAAAAAAACAAGCCATTAATCTCTGGTTAAATAAGAAGGAAATGTTTCTAAAGGAGCTGCATACTACAAGACAAGCATTAACAGAAATTAATTTAATTTAGTTATAAAGTAAAAACTTATTAATTGTGATTAAAACTGTTTAATCATACCAGATCCATGTATAACTTTAAAGTGATAAATACATTTAGATTAATCTAATTAACAATTAAAAGACCCACTTGGACTGCAAACGTGATGTCAATGGTGATACAACACAGATTCAAGATTGTTAATTATCATGTTTCAAAGATGAACTTGTTCTCTGCAAAATTACCATGTCGCAGGCTTGACACTGACGAGGGGAGGTTAATAGAATCAGCATACGGCCGTGCTGGAGTCATGAATTTGTTAACATCATGTAATGACACTAATTGAATGGACAGTGTGTCACATTCATACTTGTATTATTCAGGACCATGGTCACTGTACCCTATTCACATATTGTTCTCTGTTTGGACAACAACGCATCTGCCTGGCACTGTCTGTCTGTTGCTGTCTGCGGCCATTCATGGCTGCAGCAGAGCTTAACTGGGGCATTTCAAAAGGCATCAATGTGGGCCGCTGGCGTGAGCCTTTTCCAGACCCCTCTCAAATATGAAGAGTATTTACTGATGCCCGGCGTGAGCTGAGCGCCGCCTGAAAACGTTGTATTGTTTGTTTTCAGATCATCAGCAAACAGCGATGCAGACACAAGGGGGTTGCCTGTTTCAAAGGATGACAAAGGTCTCTGTGCACGTGGAGCATTCAGGCACAAAGCAGCTTAAGCAGCGCACAGACAAAGACAGCACTGTGTCTCTCTCATGCATACATCTTCATCAAACCCACAAAGTAAAGGCTAGACAGACAGCCTGTGTGAGGAGATAGACAGCGCATCACCCTGAGCAACATGTGCACACATTTTGAGCACGCACACACACAAAAACCCACAAACAAATGGCCTAGTTTGGAATGGAAATCCTATACTCCTGTGGGTTCTGTAAGCACTTTGCCATTGATAGGCACTTTGCACAGACTATCCCCTTATTGAATAAGCTAGCAACTGTGGCAGGAGCTGCCAACACTGGCACAATTTCTGGGGTACAAAGCTGTTTAAGATTCCTATGTGAGGAGCCAAGGTTGAAAAAGTGAGGTGCTTCAAGCAGAGAGGTAAAGACAGATTAACTATATGAAATGGAAAACATATGGATTTAAAACAAGACTTTTATAATATAACCTAAATTTGTTTCGTAAATTATTAAAGTTCAGATGTGAATGAAAATCAGGAGCGATAAAAATGAAAAATAGCATAATGACACTGGGTTCTATCGGTTTTGAATGTCAGTGAAATTAGGCACACAAAGCCACTCCTACAGAGATCTCCAGGCTGCCTGGACTGAAGAGAGGCTGTGATTTCAATTCACAATTACAGGTGCAGCAGTTCATCCCAATCAGGTGAATTCAGTGTAGAACAGGCCTGCACTTAAAGACTCAAAGAGTACAATTTAACATCCATATTTACTTTTGTCTGCAATTCACAGAAGACGACTCCATGACTGACAGAATGAGGACAGCATGCACTCGTAAATTATGTACTGTCACATGGAAGATGTTAAGACTAAATCAGCACTGTATGTAGTAAATGGCTATTTAGTATGCACGAAAGGAAGCATCATTCAGACACGGCACCTAACAGCTCATGCCTATTTTATAGCATTCTCATCACGGGTGGTAATAAAGAGAGGGTAAATAGGTCCATGTTAGAGAGAGTCCAATGTGATTAAGCTCAGTCCATTCCCTTGGGAGTAAGTGACGATGCCACGAATGGGACTGTGGGACAGCCTTTCATTTGCTGTTTCTTCATATTCTGTTTTCCTTTGCTCTTAGTGAATAAAACCCAGATGGAGCACATGAACTCACTCATCTTTAGATCGCCCACCTCTTTAACCATGACATCACCACAGCTGCTTCATGTGCAGAGAAATGACACCAGTCTAGATGTCAGGAGTCAGTGCATGCACGATCCTAAAGAGCCACTAGAATATAATGTCAGATGGTTACAGAACCTCAGATAAAGGACGCCAAGGCCTTAAAACAGAACTGTCTTTGTGATAAACAGTATCCAAACTCTAAGGTTGAATGCAGAGGACATACCACCATATAGTTTTGGTCTAAAACCACTTCTAGCATGTTTTACGGTTGTACCAGCCAATACAAATACCAAAACAATGTTTGTAGCGCACACACAAATCAACCACAATATTAAATCCACTGACAAGTAAAGTGGCTAATATTCATTATGTCATTAGAATGCAATGTTCTGCTGGTAAAAGCTTGAGTCTTGGCTTTCATGTGGGTGTTACTTTGACATGTATGACCCGCCTAAACATTGTTGCAGCACCATGGCACTCCCTTGATGGCAGCAGCATCGCCCAGTAGGACAATGCACAAAATGCAACCGCAAAACCTATTTGGGAATGGCTCAAGCAACACAGGAGAGCCCAAGGTGTTGACAGAATATATTATATAAGACAGAGCATATAAATGTGGTTTGCCATTGCTGACAACAGAATATTTTCTGCTTAAATTTGTACATCATCAAATGTCCACTGCTTTGCCAGACACTAAATAATTCCACCAGAGCAGAGAGATGAGATTAAACTCTACTTTAACTGACACTAAGAGGGTGAGAGAAGACTTCTAGAAAACCACAATGATGGTGGATTAAAGTGTGGAGGAAGTGAGAGAAGCTTTTACCCAAACTGCAGAGTTGAGCTGTGAAAGAGACACTTAACCTCCAATTGTTCCAGTGGAGCTGCTCCGTGGCCACATATAAAACACTCCCAGGGGAGAATGTGGCCGTGCACTGCTTTAAAATTGCCTGCTTAATTTTTTTTCCTTAATGACTCTACATGTTGTGCTGGTGTGGTACGACAATTTATCCGATGACAAAAATAGATAAACATGGCAAACAAGAAACTCATGAAACAATTTAACCCCAAAGTTTTTTGGACTACACTGCAAAGCTTTATGAAAGTTGTTCTTTGATAATGTTTGCTTAAAATAATAAAAAAAAAGGGAGTGACATCATGAATGAAAAGTTCTCTTAAAACTAAATTTATACAAGACTACAGTTATGCAACTCTTCAGCAAAAACAGTATTAGTCAGTGTGGGAATTTTGTAAAGCTCATGAAAACGTAATTAAGACTTTCTGGTTGTAAACAAGACACAAATATCTTAAAACTGCTCCAGGTAAGATAATCTAATAAGTCACAAGAGCTACACTTCTTTATGGTCTTCACAGAAAAATACTTCTGCTATAGGTGTATAAGAACAAGTCTGCCATAAATCAAAGCTATAATGTCCAAGACCAACAGTTAGCTTAGTCTTAATTTAATGCTGTCTTCGATGTAGGCGGGCTCAGGTCCAGGTCCATTTATAGCTACCTCTCAGAAGCACTAAATCTGTGAAAAGAAATGGAATGGGCAGTTAAATGGCTCACTGCAGAGCGTTCCTCCTCTAGTAAGAACTAAATCCACATGCAGACTGTGGAGACTAGTTTTTATTGACAGCAACACGCAAATACTGTGAAACACCAGCTTTAAAGAAAGACAAGAAAATCTTTCCCAATGAAAGAGAATATTGTTACAGAGACTCTAATTATATTCAGTGTCTGTCTCAGGAACTGTTTATATCCTCCTTGCAAATACTAATGACAAGTCACTGCTTACACACTGCATTTGAGAACACTCCTGATTATTGCCGATGCAGATTATTTCAGTTAAGCTCTGTTGACAGTGTTTAGACAGCAACTACTAAAACAGACTTACTGCCACTAAAGAGACTGAGCACATGAAATGATTGTGCTGTTTATATTAATTATCTAAATTAACTACACAGACTAACTTCCAGTAATCCAAAGGCATTTAGTTATTTGGTGGAAAGTCAGCTTCTCGATCACAGTAATGCTCTGTGCGGCCTTCGTTCTTTCTAATGAAGATAAGCTTTCAAATCGCAGCAGGAGCCGTGTGGCTGGACACAGTCCAGCACCAGCCAGTTAACTGCAGCCAGCCTGCCACCTAGACAAGAGGTGACAGAGTGCACTGTGAGCAAAGTGCACAGAGCCCTCAATTTACAGACCTGGTGGGTCATGGGTGAGGAGTCATGATGAATTAATGACTGCAGGTGGTCATGTGTCAGAGAGTTGGCACCTGAAATGACGCACTGACTTTGTCACCATCAAAAACAAGCTGTGGATAGGAACCTCTCACTGCCAATCCTCTGTCCTTCCTTATGGGTTCCAGGAAATGTGATGTGCAGTTTTTCATTCAGGTGGAAGTGAAGAGGAGAGACAGAAAACACAGTTTGTGTCTCTGGCCTTCCTGTTGTCCAACTGACAGGGCATGGAATAGGTCAACAGATGCCCGTCAGTCAGATACTGCCACTCACATTCATTCCTTTCCTCTTACAGCAGTGGAAGACAGACAGAGGAGAGAGTTTATGACCGCCACAGTGACTGAGGAAAGAATAAATGGTAAACCGTGTTACAGCAGAAACCATTAAACCATCACTTTTTAAGGATACATTTGCTCTTTCACTCACTTGAAAATCAAGAAACAACAGATTTTGTACAGTTACTCACAGCACCCTGCAATTCCTAAAAAGCTGAAATCTCAGACTCTGCTTCGAGTACAGAACAGCATCGTATTCAAGGTGATAAATTAATAAGCAAACATGACAGACAATAGA